TTTTTCGGGCCAAAGAAGAAAAAATACGGCGCGGTGCACCCTTCTCCACTGTGTTTTCGCACGCAGAATGAAGAAGAAGAAGGGGTGGAAATTCCGACGGAATTTATCGCCGACCCACCCCCGCCATGTTTATATCAATACACGATGGGGATATTGATCTGCCTTTGCGTAAACAAGTATTATGAATGATCGATTAACACTTCCCACAGAATTGAAAACATTGGAATGAGAAAAATTTACAAAAATTCTAAATTTCTAGATTATTTTTTTTTTAAATTTGAATTTTTACAATTTGATGAATAAACAACAATAATTCAAAATTATGATTTTATAGCAATGTTTATAATAAAATTTAGTACAATAATTGCTACTTTAAAGAATAAATTAAAAAATTACTAACCTTCAAAATTAATTTTTTATAAAAAAAAGATTAAATTTAAACTATTTGAATAAAAAAGATTTGAAAGAACCGGAAAATAAATGTTAAATTTAAAGGCTAAATTTTCGTTACAGGACTTTGAAAGGGAGAGTATGAGTTGCTGATAACGCTGCGCAATTTTCAGTTAAGTAAAGGTGATGCAAAAATTATCACTCTCGGGGCCGATTGTGCGGACGCCCCTTGATGTGAGCATTCCGATAAAAAATTACTTGATTTCTGCCGCTACTTTTCCCTTTTATCAGCAAGTCCAAATGCATTGAAGTGTTTTCAGGTGTGAGGAAAGAAAAAAAAAAAAAAGAGAAATGTTATAAATATCAACACAGGAATCCACTAAATAATGGTCTAGAGTTAATTTGTGTAGATTCTACAGGTGAAAGTAATTAATTTGCCACTTTTTCCGACAGGTTGAAATTTGATTTGCATTTCGCGTTGTGTGTCCTCCAATTTGTAGACCTTTCGTCACACCCCCGATCTAACCCAATTAATCATGCCAGAGCCGAGTGTGTTTGTGAACAAGCCTGGCCTAATGGCAGAGTGCTGTTGTAGCCGCCGCTTTATGCACGACCCCTTTTAGCCAGAGACACCGTCCGCCCAGAGATCGCTTTTCAATCTCAAGAGAGGGATGAAAGTGGCATTCCAAGACGTTCATATAAACACTCGCAGAAAATCTGCGTGGGCGGATGCATTTGACGCGAATCATGTGACTTGGACAGGGAAAGTAGAAATTTATTTTCATATCAATCAAGGAATTAAAAAAAATAATAATAAAAAAACAAAATTGCATCCCTCGTTTTATGGAAGGAATTTTATTCTTATCTTGAGATTGTATTAAATTCACAAGCAAAAAATACTTTTTGCTGAATTTGAGAAATTTTGATTCTTAGTTAGTCTGTGTCTATTTTTAGGTGCGTCCATCATCCTCACTTTGACAAGCCTGCGCATTTTAGGTAAAAGAGACTGACAATTTATTCATTGTGCATGGCAGAACTTTGCAGACGTGATGTTATAAACATGACTTTTCCCTCAACTACTGGTAGGAAAACCTTCTGTGAATTATACTTTGATGAGTATAGAAGGCTCTCAAATTTTATTTTGTGCAAAGTTTTCACAAACAAAAAAGCATAAATTGTTGTAAATAAAAGTATAGATAAGGATGTCAATTTGAATAAACTATAAAATTAGTTACAAAATATTAAATTATAAAAATGGTAATTAAAATTGAGTGAAACTTCAAATTTGGCTTATTTAAAGTTTCTTCAAAAGAAAAGTTGTCTTAGTTATTTGAATTTTTAAATAATTGAATGAAATTTTCTTCATAATATTGCATTTTGTTAAAAGTTGAATGTGGAGGTTTTTGCATTTTATTGCCTAAAAACTTATTTCAAACTATTTAATCTTGATCGAACAAACTTTTTTTTACTTTTTATATTGATCAGATAATACAAAATTATTCATTCACATTAAAATGATCTCAAATTCATTTTTTCTATTGACAAAATGTGGATTGAGATGGAGAGGAAAGAGATTGGAATTGAAGCAACAAGCAAATCTCTGCGGACTCTCCGCCGCTTTTTTGCAACATTTTACTCGAGTGCTTGAAAAGGTCGGTTCCGAAACAGCAGACAAAAGTTCTCGCACATTTCCTCACGAGTCGGATGACGGCATTTGGCTGTTTTGTTTTAATCATCGGCGAGTGCCCGCGGAAAGGAAGTGCCTTGTGCACACGTACATTATGCAAACGATCGAAAGGGGCGCCTCCCCCTCCCTCCCTCCCTCTCTGGCAGGCGCACCTAATGAATATTGCGTTAACGTGCACGCATGCTAATGGAGCGGAATATTATTCCGCGCGACGTGCAGAGAAAACACGCAGCTCACCGTTGTCTCCCTATTTTGAATTTACAAAGGGGTAAAACTCGAATTTGCATTTTAACTGGGATGAGAGTGGGATCATTTTACATCGAGTAGACAAAACACAACAAAATCTTTTTATATTAAAGTAAACAAGCATTTAAATTTATTTGCTCAAACGCCAAAATAAATCTAAGTGCAGCAACTGTAAATTAAAAACTTAAAATTGGTAATTATTAAATACGAATTAGATTTTACTCTCACTTTTATCTTATTCAACATTTCTAAACTTTTCTTCAATTTAGCGTTGTTTAGGTTACATAAACTAAATTATCTTTTAAAAAGCAATCTTTGTGCTTATTGATTAGAATTATTTACAATTATTTGCATCTAAAATTGTGTGCTCAATATTTATTATAAACATATTCTAATATTTCTGATATTTCTAAAATTAGTTAAAGCAAAAATATTATTAGAACTTGCTAATTAATCTATAAATGAATTTTCAGTACGCACATCTCAATCAATGCTAAAACCGCCACCGTTCATGTGCTTATTAATTACGGCACCTGCAAAATCAGCCTTGCATGTTTTCCCTTTGCTACAAATAGCTACGAGTGGGCGTGTAATTGAAATATATAGGGTTGGCGATGTTTTTGCGTCAAATTTTGTTTATCGTGGCTGCGAGCAAGCAAATTGCATTACGCCCAAAAACGTCGCGTCGGCTTTTCAGTTCTTCGAAAGAAAAAGAAGTCCCGCAAATAATCCACCCCCGATACGAAATCTGTGCACGCGTTTCGCAGGCCTCTCGCCTACCAAGCGTTGCGAACTTGCAAATGTCAAGGGTCAGCACCCCGCGTCACTGAGTGTGGCACAAAAGACCCATTCAGTTTTTGCTACGTTCATATATGTACGGAGGCAAGGACTCGTGAGAAAGGTCACTTTTATATTAAAAAGAAAGAAACTTTTAGTCTCAACTTTCAGTTTCAAGGCTGAAAATAATCGCAAATTCTTAAAAAAATTATCAGAAAAATTCTTAACAAGAGTAAAAATTTGCTAAGATTCATTATTATTATTATTATTTTTCTTAATAACTAATGTAATTAAAATAAAGTTGCCCTCAATTGGCCTCAGTTTAAACAGAATGAATAAACTTCTTGAATCCAATATCCAACTAATTATTGTAATTATCGGTAATTATTATAAACTATAATTACAAGAAAAAACCGCAAATTACATTCTTCGACAATGACGATACCCTAATTAATTGTTTTTACAAAGATTAATTATCTTAAAAGTTTTAAAAACTTTTAGATGAGGTATTTTCTTCTCTTTTGCCATTTTTTATTATTTTTTAGCAGAAAATTAAATCTTCTGATTGATCTCTCTTTTGAAAAGCACAATAAATGAAATTAATTAATATAATAATAATATAATAATTAAATATAAATAATAATTATATATAATTAATTAAAAAATCTGACATTACTTAATTTCTAATTTTGTTACTTCACTTTTTTATCAATTAAAAAAATTGCAAGGACAAATTTTTTAATCTATTTTATATTAATTTCAAAGATTGTTTAATTTTGAGAGGTAAGTTCTTCACATTAATTTTGATTGCACAAGTGTGACTCAAACCTCAGCTGATTGCTTGTTGCATGGAAACATCGAGCAGATTCAGCAATTTGCAACAAAGCATCGGTTGCAAAAATTAAAAGAATTGTTTTTGCCGGGCCAAACGAAATCATCTTCTGCAAATAGTTTGATCGGCAAAACGCTGCCTCGGTCGAATTTTCTGCTTTCGCGAGTCGAGCCCACTCAGCTTTATTTATACAATCAGAGTATGAGAAAGAATGAGAGACACCGGCCGCGGTGTAAAAAACCAAAGGGTTTTGCGCCTCGGGCCGTACACCGGCTCAGAAAGAAAGAGTATGCGCGCGAGTCGGCAGAGAACAAGATTATTATTCAAGCATCCGCGCACAAAGAAAGAGCATTCCACAGCGTCACAATAATTTATTGCCGAGTTTAACTAAAAACCGTGGAATTTCAACCAGCGTTAATTTTTTTACAAAAAAATCAATATAATTTCAGGAATGATTGAAATTCAAAAAGATGTATCAGGAAGTTCTTAATTTAATATTTTACTTCTAAATTTTCTATAAGAATTGTTCAAATTATAGTTGAAAAAAATCCCCGGCAAAGAACAAACTTCAAAAATTAAATTCTGATGAAATTATTCGGTCTTTCAAGCAATAAGGAAAAAAATCTGACTTTTTTCCTTTTGAAATTACTTTCCACAAAGTCTAAAAGATTTTCTTTGCAATATTTTGAAATTTTTAGACATTTTATTACAAATATCTTTTTCTTTGATATTGTCAATTTAAATTTGAAGATTTGGAAATTTTCAGCACTGAAGTTTTAAGTGAAACGAGAATAAAAATCGCCACTTGTAAAAAAAATGTGGGGATGTTCCAATATTTTCAATTTTGATTTAGAAATTTTAAATGCAATTTTAGATTTCAATAAAAAATGAAATATTAATTAGTTTAAAAAGCAATTGAAGTAAATCAAAGGAATTTTTGGGCACGTCCGGCTGACAATGAAAGGTCACTAACATAATAAGCGGCGAGATCGAATATCAATCCACCTGCCGCGGTGGATTTATCTCATAAAACAAGTAAAATGTTCTTCTAGAAACAAAAACACTCACGTGAGAAGAGGAGACGAAAAGAAGCTCGGCGAGGAAGAAAGGTGCCGGAGGGGAAGGGGCCGCAGGTCGTCTCCGCACTACTTCCCCTCCGCGGCTGGCCAGCTCGAGGAATCCGAGGAGGCTCAGCCAGTTGTGGTGCGACGCGCGAGTTGTTGTGAGGGTGTCGTTTTTGTCCGGCCGCGAAAATTCTGTGCCTGCGCAAGGGGAAGCGGTGGGCCCGTCGGCAGGCCCACTGCTGGTCCCCGCTCAAGCCGGCGCCGCTGGCCGGCGCCGACCTCGGCGGAGACGATGATGTTGATGAAGATCGCCGCAGCGAGGCGTCGCTCAGCCGGCGCCACTCGTTTCTGCAGGACCATCTCGCCTCGCATCAGGGCATGAGTGGAAGTTTCTTGTCACTGTAAGTACAAATATTATTATTTATCTTAATTTGAAAAGACAAAAAAGTTGCATCAAAAATTTGAATAGAACCAATAATCATTATCAAAATTCTATTAACCTAATGAAAATAAAATTTCGCATCAAACATCAATAAAAATTATTAATTAATACTGAAGATAATTATTTGAAAGTTTAAAATGTTGGTGCAGTTCTAAATAAAATTTTCACATGAAAAGAGGATAAAGTTAAATAGCGATTTATCAAAATAAAATTTGTTAATTTGAAATAAAAAATTTAATTAATTTCGTAAATATAATTCGTTTGGAAATTAGCTGTAGATTTCTTTTTTACAGCAAAAAAGACATCAATTCACTTATGGCATAATTGATGATTTAGGAAGTTGCAAAGAAATTTGGCTTTCAAACACTTTCATCCATTAGCTTAGGAAATAGACCGGTTTGACGACACTGACCAGAGCTTTGAAATTCACATTTCGCGTTTCTATTTGAATAAATTTGGTCGTTATTCGCAAATGAGATGCTTAGTTATTTAATCAAGGAGAGAGAAATCGCCTTTTAACTTTTCAGCTTCCGTCGACAGTGAACAAGTTCCTAGAAAAAAATTAAAATCTGCATCACGAGAAACAGATCAATTAAGCGAATAACCCAGTTTTCAAATTAATTCTCCAGCTCTGGCAGTTTAAATATCTAGGAAGTGGAATTTCGCAGAACAGGAGAATAAGTAATAATAACGCAGCGCCGTAAAATGCAAATAGCAGAAATTAATGCGCGACAACAATTATGTATTAATTAGCGTTTTTACACCTCCGAGGGATTTGTGCGCCTTTGCAAAACTATATAATTCTGCAAAGGCAGAGCAAATAAAAATTGCTTTACTGCCGCGTTCGACCTTAATAATCCATATATACGTGTACATGAAAAACTGGCTCTTGTTAAAAAAAATCGGATCGCTTCTGGGCCATTAAAATAAATTGTTCTTATTATTATAATAATTTTAACTCCCCTGGAATTATAAAAGAATTTATTTCTTCCTAATTTCAGACAAAAAATTAGAGTTTTTATTACTTTGCTTTGTGATGAATAAGAAAAATAAATGTTGAAATTTCCATTCAGCAAATATTTGAATGCAGCAGATTTTTATTCAATTATAATTCTATTAAAAAAAAAGACTATTCTGTTTTAAACAAAAAAATTTTAAATTAATTAAAACAAAAGTAACATTTAATCATCATTATTTATGATGAAATTTTTTGTATTCAAATAAATTTGGTGTTAATTAATAAAATAATATCTAATTATTTTCTGAATTTTACATAACAAATTTGTAAAATTTATGTCTTTATTTGTGAAATATTTTTTAATTATCTCTGCGTTTAAGGAAAATTGATTTAGGGTAAATCTAAAAAATATCTGAAATCATACGAATTAGATTAAATATCATAAATGTTTCCTTGGCAAACATTATTTTTTCCAAATATCTGTAAAAGTTACTTCAAAACCAACAAGTTAAACTATTCAATAAGATATTTTAATGCCTTACTTTTCCCAAATAAAAAATCCAGCTCCCATAGATAACAAAACCTATTATTAATTTAATGGTGTCTAAGTGGGACCAATGAATATCACATGGCTTTTTGAATGCCCTCTGCGAGTCTATTTTGAAATTTCTCCCGGCACTTTATTCTTTCTCTCGCCTACGTTATATTTTTTTATACGTGTCATCACGCCGAGTGACTGAATAAGTGAATGAGCCACACAAAGGCACATTCATCTATTTTATTCTCTCGGCGAAACTGGCTTAAAAGCACAAATAATGCACTCGCGCGCACGAATTCCACCGGCAGCTCCATTTCCCACGAGGAATTTGCATACGCAGATATTAACTCGAAGCGGCGCCGCTGCCACGCCAGAAACGTGAATTATCTCTTCGGGTACAAATGCGAGGCAAATAAATAATTCACCTGACAACACGTGTCTCGTCTTGCTTTTGCTACAAAGAGAACCCATGGGAATCAAAGGCGCGAAAATTAATTAGACTCGGCGCGTTTCTATACAAAAAATAATCAAGTGAAAAGTGCAGATATCATGATTTTTATATAGAAGAAGCAAAATATAATGATAATTGTGATGTTGATTCCACCAATTTCAGATGATTATTTAAATTATCAAAATTTATTTATCGTGAGTTAATTTTGGCATTTAAATTAAAATAGAGGAATTCTCAATTTAGTAAAAATTTGGCTCGTTAATGGGTTTTTTTTAACCTTGACTATTTTAAAAAATTTAAAACGTGAATAGCTTTGCAACCGGAAATGCAGTAGTGATAAAAAGTTCACACTTTGTCTAAAATTTTCATTCATAACAACTTTTCTGCAGACACCAAAGCTTTAGGTCAAAGGTCAAGGTCATTTTTGAACAATTTTTAGATATTTTATAATATGATTTAGATCTCTGGAAACGACCCTTGCCCTTTGACCTCGGAATTGTTTGATCTCCCAAATCTCAAAATGAATAATATTTGAAGAATCAAAGCCACATAATTATACTTTCTGTAATGAAATAGAACCTGAGATTTTTATTTTTAAGTAATAAATTGTATTTTACTGGAAAATGTTTCACTTTTCTTGGTCCATCAAATTAAATCCAACTGTTTTTTTTTTGCTTTCACTTGAATGACGCGTCATTAGCTTTTTCCATAAGAAATAATTGCTGGGAGTAAAGAACTGATGAACCTTGTTTTGAGTTCTCCGTACGTTCACAGGACATAATGAAACTTTCGGTGGTGAAAAAAAAAACACCAGCTTCAGCACAAAATAATCGCTGCAGAGAAACAAACAAAACGGCGCTTCTTATAAAAGCGATCTCCACTTTAACAGCCACATTAGTTTTGAAGAAATGATCCTCGCCCCATTGCTCGTTGGCCTCGTGGTGGCCGTCGTGGCCCAGGCCGCCCCCGAGGACCCCCTCAGCCCCCTGAACTTTGATTTCGATTTGGCTGCCGGAACGCACCCCATCGCCAAGCGCTTGGTGAATCTTGCACCCAGGGTGAGTTTCGGTCTTTCTCCTGCGAATCAGTCCAAAAATTAGATTGTCCCTTTTTTGGAAATAGTGCGACCACTACGTGAACGTGCCCGCCTTCCTGCAGGCCTGCGTCCTCGGCTGCGGACCCTGTTTGCCCGACTGCATGGAGTGCAGCGAGTGCCCTCCTGACTGCACAGATAGCTGCACCACCCCTGGTTCCTAAGTTTTTCACCCTTCGATCTCTGATCTCTACAGGAGATTCCAAATATTAGACAAATTTGAGTCACTTTTGATGGTTCGTAAAAAGAGAACAACTATGTTGACAAAAGGACAGCGTGCATAAATTTTAAATTATTTAAGCAAAAAAATTTTTAATTGTCTTTGGCAAATTTTAGATTTTCAGGTAAATTACTTTTTTCCAAAAAAAAAAGGCGTCATATTAATCACAACTTTCGGTTTAAAAATGATAATTTCATTTTATCTATGTTCTAAAAATGAATAATAGTTATGAAAATTGAAAAGAAGAAAGGATATTTGATATCAAAGCAAATTTTGTGCACTGAAAAATTGTGTGCGAATTATAAGTGAGTAAATATTTTCAAACCATATAATGAGCTGTAAAAAAAATAAAAAGTTAAGATTAAGCAATAAAAGTCTCAAAAAATACAAAAAGTCGTTTAATTCTCACATAATTAAAACCAGAATTATGATGAATTCTCAAAAAAGCATTATCAGTATCAGTATTCATTTTGATAATAATTTTTTTTTATTTTCAAATGAATCGGTCTCAAAATTGAATGTAAACAATGTATTGTGACAATGTGGACAGATTAACAACAATAATAAAAAATGCAATATTAAATCTATTGCAGATCTATTGTTTTAAAATATTTTGCTTACATGTTTCACTTTCCAGCAGCTTTCACGTTTTTTTGTATAAAAACTGTGATTTATTTTCCTCTCGTCTCCCTTTCGGTGCATGTGTGCTTTTAATTAAAAGATAACCTCTCTGCTCACGTGATCCGCCGTGGAAAACAACATTTTCGCCTCGCTCGGTTGGATATATTTCTGACAGCGAGAGATGTTTTTGTTTCACGGCGCGGCGTTGAATATTATTGATGAGAATTGTGCGTGAGCGCTTCTATATTTTATAACCGCGGCCTCTCGGCTTTAATTTGATAATCGACCGGCCTTTTTCTATAATATCTTTACATGCAGGGCTGGAATGTGTACCTTAAAAAAATGGTCATTTGATTTATTTCTGCGCCGCTATATAGAGACAAATTTAAATGAGAGGACGTTAAATTGATCTGGAGAGGGATATTTTACTTTAATAGGGTGTTGGGGGCGGAGTTGAGAATCGTAATTAACTTTTGATGCATTAGCGTTTATCAGTCTTGCTTTTTTTTCTTGGAACAACTTCAACTAACGAGATTAGGAGAAAAAAGGAAATTATTCACGAAGAAGACCATCAAATGGACATTTGAGCCAGTCATGGCGAACGAGCAAAATCAAGTTTAAATTGAAAATTACCTGTTGCCGCGGCTGGAAAGATGATCAAATTTGAAGACAGCCGATTCTTGTTTCTCCCCAAGAATCCGACTTCGCTGAGTTTCTTCAAAAAACACTCATTTTGGGGCCGATTTCGGAGCTGACATTCGTGACATTCATACAGATCAGATCGTCACATTGTCTTTGTAAACAATTACTGGCCCCGCCCCCTCATTTTCCCTCCCTCGCCCCCTCAACAAAATAATTCTTCTCCTGATAAAATTTGCATTGTTGAATCCGCTTTTTCAAATTTCATAATAATTCCTTTCTAAATTTTATTGCGAAATGCAACTCCTTCCGCGCTCGGTCAAAGGTCACCTCGAGACCGACCTGACCCTGACCGCCATCATTTCGCAGAGCGACTCGAGCACTGTTTATCGAGGGACCCTGAAGGTCGGCTCGGAACTGCTCCAGGTGGCCATCAAGAGCGCTTCAAACTTGTCAGCCGGGTGGAGGGAATGCGAAGTCCTGCGCCTGATCGGGTGCCACCCTAGCGTGGTGCACCTTCTGCAGCCGGTCACCAGCGATGGCGGCGAGTTTTTCCAGGTCATGGAATTGTGCGACTCAAGTTTGGCCCAAATGCCTGCTCTGGAGGAAAACGTTTTCAAAGTTTTCGTCCAGGATTTCATCCAGGCCGTCAAGACTTTGCACCAGAAAATGAAGGTAGGAAAATTTAATTTATTTTTTTTAATTTTAATTTAATTTATGTTGAAGTTTGTACATGGAGCTCTTAGTTTGGACCACCTTTTGCTAAACCAGGACCAAAGGCTGAAAGTTTGCAGCTTTTCGAAAACGGAGGTTTGCCAAAACGTGAACCTGTTGAAGAAGGACCTGCAGGACATGGCAGTTTCCATTTTGGAAGCTCCTTCGAAAGAAAGATTCGGCGATCTTTCGCCTGAAACTGCCTTTGAAAATCCCAGGTAAAATTAAATCTTCAATCTTTTTTTTTTAATTTAGTATTTTTTTAAAGGTTTCTTGTGGATAACCTGGCGAGAAAGTCGACCCTGAGCAGGAATGACAGCATTCTGCTCGTCTCCCTGGCCTACCCTTTGCTGACCGGCCTCACTTTGGCCCAAAACCTGGAAAACCACGTTTTCCTCCAGAGTCCTGAAAACGTGCTCAGGTTCATCGACGGCTGCAAGGACTTCTTGATGAGCCGCTCTTGTCCCATGGCCGAGTCGAGGTACAAAATTTAAAAAATTTCAATTTTTTCCAGTTTCGATTTTCAATATATTTAAGACTCGAGTCGACTTCGTATTCGGTGGTTGGCCCAAACTGGGTGAGTCAGGGTCACCTGGACACGATGCGCGAAGGTCGTCGCTATGACGGCTCCATGAAAGACCTCCTCCGCCTCATCAGAAACAAGACCGAGCACTACTGCTCCGTGCCAGGGTACATCAGGCAATGCCTGGCCCATCCTTTGGTCGACCCTGGCAGCTTCCTCGGATACTTCACGGCCCTTTTTCCAGGGCTGATTCCCTGGACCTGGCACTGCATGTTCGAGTTCAGGGTCGAGGCCAACCTGCAGGCATTCTACCCTGAGGACGGGCAGTACCTGACCAGGGTGCCCATCCAGCAAATGATTGGCCGATAATTTAAAATTGCTTTTAAGAGAACAACAGCTTTAAAACAAACACACACTTCATTTGAACATTTTTATTATTTGAAATTCTAAAACCTATTTTGAGATTTTTACAGCCTAAAACACACAAAAATAATAATATATATTTTTCCTTCTATATAATTTTTGGTAAAACTGCATTAAAAACACTCTTCAGCATTTATTTATTATTATTTATTTTGAAGAAAATTAAAAAAAAAACAATTCAGGTATTTTCTTTTTTTTCCAAAGAAATAAGCAATAAAAATGTGTTGATTATAAAATTTTTGCATCACTCTGCCATTTTTAAAGCAAAACAGTTGCGGTGTTTTGGCATCATAGATGAAGAATATAAAATGCAAATATGTATCTCAGCTTCTTTTAGGGCCCTAGTAGAAATTCCTGGTATATAAATTAGAATCGCTCGATTTGCTCTGAATTTCTAGATTTTATAGTTATGCTCTGTTGTAATTCATTTATGGCCGCGCCAATGCCAGAGCACACAAAAACATAAAGTAGTTTTTCGGCGTCACACGAAATTCTCCGGCTCGATTCTGAGAAGAGGTCCGAATCTGCCTTCAGCATAAATAGCGTAATAATTATTGGCAGCAGCAGCAGCCCGACCTGTTCGGCCGCTTTTTTCGAATTCCCATTTTTTTCCAACACAAAATCACTGCGATCGAAAAACCCTTGCTGATGAGAAAGTGTAAAAAACAACATAGGTGCCCGATTTTGTTGCATTTCTCTGGCCGCTCAAGCGAAACCATTCATTCAAAGCTTTGGTTTTATTATTATTTTTAATTTGTATTGCCGTCAAAAGAGCTGCGAGATGCCTTCCTTGGCTGCCTTTTCTTTTCTTATTTAATTTATCTCGCGGGCCAAGTCCTTGAGCCAGCAGCCGACTTGATTCTTTTAAATGGCCCTCGCAGCAACATAAGCTGCGTTTCTTCCATGCTTGGGTGTGTGTTTTTTGTTTTATTCTCTCTGCGCTGCTCTTGATATCCGTGGACGAAGAGGCCCTATTATGTTTTCTAACACCCATTACTCAAAGAGAGTAGAAGGGCCTGCGTTCCTATCAAAAACACTTTCGTAAAAGTATGGGTTTTAAAAAGAATTAAGAGACTGGAAATTTAAAAGATAGCTCTGCAAATATTTTTGCTTTCAAATTATTTACAGAATTTCGTTCAACAAGTATATCAAATTTTTTGCTTGTTCTGTGCAAAACTTTCTGGAAAATATTATGCGAAAATTTCCATTTTTTAATTAGAAAAACAATGAAAAGTTCACAAAAAATAGAGAAGATTCTGCTAAATTTTGATGATAATTGTGCCCTAAATTAGCGATGGTTTGTGTTATCTTATATCTCCATCATTATTAAATTTAGAGAATCAAAACCAATAAAAACTAAATATTAATTTGATTTTTATATGTATTTTAGTTTGATTCATTCCGAGCGGCTATTCTTCTTGTTAATTTATTATCCATTGATATTAGCAGATGAAAGTCGGATTGAGGAAACCCGCTTTGAATTTAAAATTAAAAGCACACATGTGATTGTGTGTGCCTGAAATGCTAATTTTGTCGCTCCATGCAAATCCAAAAAGAGTTTTTCGTGCCAGCGACGGAAGGGCACTGCCCATGACAAGTTTGCAACCTGCACTTGCCATTAATACTGCAAGTTTGTTTTCGCGTGCAGAGTTTGATTGCGGTTGGCGTGCAGCCGCAGAGAAATTGGTGCAGCACCAACCAATAATTAATGCATACAAATTGACTCTTTTTTCGCTCAAAGTATGGCGCAGCTGCAGCACAGATTAAAATTGAAAAACATTTTTTTTAAAGATATCTTTATAGACGTTTATTTTTCAAAAAGGAAAAAAGAGATTGCTTTTTTTTGCCAAATTCTTTACCAAAGGTTCTGTCAAGATAAAATTTTTTTGTAAATTATAATCTGAAGTCTCATTGCTTTTATTTTCAAATTTAATTGCTTTCTTGTTTGTTTGAAAAGAAAAACTGTATATTCAAAGTAAAGAAAATGAATTAATATTTAAAAAAACTCTAACAATTGAGAAGATTTTCACATAAAAAATCATAATAATTTCACTAGATTTTCATGAATTGGCGTTTGTGATTTCAAGTACGGTGTGATTCTTCCACCTCCGTGGCAGGTGTGTTATTCCATTTTCTAGGCGCAGGCTAACGTGTGTTGGAGCAATTATAATGCAGAGCGTAATGGCATAATTGCTCTCTGGCTCGGCCCATAGTTATTTGCAGAGCACTCGGCGTACGGAATGCGCCGGCAGGTTGTTCCTCGCAAGAGCAGTACAATGATAATTGTGTTATGCCCGGCCAGGCACGCCATCTCATCTGTGCTCATCTTCCGCGCGCAGACATGCAACCTGACGAGAGATTCGCCTCTTATTTGATAGGAAACAACGTCCTTGATCCGCGAGAGCAATTATGCTAATATTCTGTATGACCTGCCCTGCAACAAAGCCACTCCGTCCTCCTCTCTGGTGTGAGAACGAGAGATGACAAGAATAATTGTATTGAGAGAGAAGCTGAGAGGGTTGTCACATTGCAGAGTGCATTGCTCAATCACGCACCACCGCTTTTGTAAAAGGTCTCAGCGCGCAGCTTCAATATAATATGCAAATGATTCGAATCGATATTATAAAAGAATTAAAAGAAATAATCATTCTGAATTTGTAAGGAAATTTTAATTTATTATTTACATACACATAATATTATGAGATTTATTTTTGATTAAAAAAAATTATTTCTTCTGTTGATAATTCAAAGTTTCAAGAACAAAATTAACAGCAGCTACAAAAATGAAAATGCAATATACATTGATGTAAGACTAGATACCATTTTTTTACTGAATTTTTGTATATGTCTCAAAGGAATAATTAACATAATTCTATAGAAAATTTATAAAATTTGATACGTAAAAAGACTATTTTATACTTGTTGTTTTTCAAAAACGACTGTGATTGTTATTTAAAGTGTAATTTTTTTTAAGTAATAAGAGGCGTTTTTATCAGTTTTTGATTTTTAATTTTTACTCAAAAAGAGATTCGTCAATTTGATTTTTTTCTGTTCGTAAAATTTTTCAATTTAAAATATTATCATATTTGAATTAATTATCTTGTTTTATCTAATATCTAATAGACGAAGAAAATAATTAATATCTTACTTAAAATTCAATAATTCTGAAATTTATTTTTCTTGTGTAATTTACGCCCATTAATCTTCCACCAACATCTTTGTAAACAAACCATTTTAGCATCTCCTTCTTCTGACATTTAAAAGAAAAGTAAAAAAAGATAGAATAGAAGAGACGTTTGTCTTCAATCATCCTTTCACTAAACTCTCCTCCTTCAGCAGAATCCATAAATATAATCAAACACTCGGCCTTGATCGGAACCTCGGCAGGTCCGGTGGTCACTCAAAGATCGACGACCTGCCTGCCTGCCTATTTTCTCGCCGCACGTTTTTTTTCCTTTTTATTAGTTGCGGACGATTTTAGACTTTAGCACCTTGAGCGACGAAAAAGTGTCCCGCAGCGCAAACTCATTAAAAACTGTAAATAAACGCGCAGGGCGAGTGAAAGAGGCGAGCGCTGACCGGAAATCCTCAACTTCTATATTTTGTCAGCCGAACCCATTTAAGGAGACACTGCTTTTTCAAACAAAAGGGCGTCGATTGTTTCTCTCATTTGAGGTCGCGACTGATTAAATATGCAAAGCACAAAAGCCGACTGCGTGATTTTGTGATGAGCCTGAAACCCTGCTCAATTATTTATGAATTAATTAGACTCTGCAGCCCTTTGAACTGCAGATTATAATTTGGCGCCAGAAATTACAGCAATATATAACAAAGAACACACTGAGCCGGTTTAATTTAATTGATCTTAATTATCGTAAAATTGTAGCCAAGCTAAAAAAAAAAAAATAATAACAAAACTTAGTTTTCAAACTCACAAGAATTTTAAATGATGAAAGCAAATAAATAGTTTTTTTAATTTTTATTGAGTCGCCTATATATTAAGATTAAATTGTTAAAATAGATATAAAAACCCGATTAAAAACAAAACATTAATGATTGATGATATATCATGCATAATTGCAATAAATTATCGAGTTTAAAACAAATTGGTTTCAATCATTCAGATTGTCATTTGCCTATAAAACGCATTATATTTTTCAAACTCGGACTGTTTAAATAATGTCACGTCTGCGTCCAGTTGACACATTTTGAGCTCACTCTATATCTCATATTTAATTTTCCCCTGGATCGTAATCAACATTATTGCTGATGTGCGTTCGTATTACAAATTGAATGACCAATCGACGCCTGGTGCGCAATTAGTCGGCCATTCAAAAGAGTGTATGTGCTTTGTAGAGCACTCAGCCTGCACCAGACACACTCCAATTTCAATTTGTGCTGTTGCGGTCATCGTGCATATCACACAATTGAACGCGTTCTCATCTGATTATACACAATTTTTCTCTCCAAATATTAGCATTTATAAAAAAGCCGGAATTATTTGTTTTGGTCTTTTGCCTTCCGTTTTTGGTCAAGATTTTGGCAAGCTCTTTATAAGGCGGTGTTGCAAAAATGACTTTGATCGCCCGACGGATGGACGATCTAAGAATGCCGCGCCTCTGCTTGCAAATTCGCGAGGCGGAAGAGGCCTTTTTTGTTGTTTGCCAAAATTGGAAAAAAATCGTGGTTCAAGAAAAATTGGACCAATTTTGTCATGCTTTATTGTGGTTACAATTTTTTCCCCATAATTTTCATTTATTTTATAAATTACTCTTCAATACAAACTTTAACTCATTTGGAATTCCAAAATGTTGTTTGAAATTTATATTTGAAAAATCCAAACATAACAATTATAATTCAGTTCTTTTACTTTTATATATATCTATGCCATTTTTGTTTCTAAGAGGAATTAGTTTTTATTATTTTTCTAATTAATTTATTTGATTTTGAATAATCAAATTCTTCCTCGTTATACACTTATGTTTTTATGTTTTCAAAACAAACACATGTTTTGATTGTAGCAAATTTTTTTGTCATTATATAAATTTGCCAATTAAAAGTAATTATAAATTTGTAGAAGTTAAATCTGAGCTGTACACAATATACAATCAGAAGATTGAAATTTTTCCTATTTTAGTTCCAACGAACGCTTTTATTGTTCAATTCTCGTCTTTCAAATAAAAGAGCAATTTGCACACACGTGTTCGCCAAATGTTACCGTTTCCGAAGTACCAATTTTCGCTACTTGAACGAGCTCTCGAACTCTCGTCTCGTGCAGCATCAGGTGCAAATACTGCAAATGTGGCAATAAAAATAAAACTAGTCTCATCGACGCGGCCATAAAATTAGTTTGCTGGCGAATCCACAGGTGGCATTCGAGTGCACCGCGCTGGCGCCGTCCTCTGGTGCTCACCGCAAGTAACGACTTTAAAATGTGCAAAAAAAAAATGTATGTATGCTGAATGAAATTTGGAAAGAAATTTTATTGCAGAGAGAGACAGTAAATGTTGAATTACTTTGAAAGGCGCCTCCTCTCAAAGAACAAGAATGGAAGAATAACAGAAAAAGGGAAATAAATTTTGGTCTTGAGTAGTTTTAAGTTGCAACACACTAAAGTGGCGGAGTTGAAGCTCGTAAAAAGGGCGGTAATTAAAAAGTTCCAAGATTTATTGTCGCCATAATTTGTCAAGTTAAAAAATAAAACATACAGCTAAATGAAAAAATGCAATTTTTCATGCTTTTTAAAATTATTTACATTATTGAAACCGTAATTTTTTAGCTACTTAATTTCATGATTATTTTTATTTTAATTTCCATTCATGGAAGAATGTGATACGTTTATAAATCATAATTATTAAATTTTTTATGTTAAATATTATTAGACTCCAAAACAAACAAACGAGTTTAAATTATAATTTGCTCATAAAACCATTATTTTTAATTTTTGTGAAAATTTTCAAATTTATTTAATTATGAAGGAACAAAATACGCACCAGACGTATACTTTTGAAACACCACAGGAACCATAGGGAGAACAAAGAGGGTTTATTAGCTCACAATATAAGAGGGTAGCAGAGCGAAATTAAATACACGCCGCATACCTTTTCACAAGAGAGTTGAATACTTTCAAGTGCGCATACAATTCATAATGGAGATAATCCTTTATTTTACGCCCTACAACTCTCAAAATAAAGGGCCGATTAGTGTTTTACAATGGGGAGAAAGGTCAATGCGCTGTTATTGCAACGAAATAATCATGATTACTTAATTTTCATTATTGTAAGAAAAGATGTAAAAATCGTTTAGGAAGATGAAATATAAAAGCAGGTTTTTTGCAATTTATTATTGAAATAAAAAATTAAATACAATTAGAAAAACAAAAACAAGAACTACACTAAATTATTTTAAAGATTGTATAATTTTATTAACTTAATTACATATTTTTTGCAGAATATTACTTTTTAATATTTTGTTACAATAATCCCAATGATCAGCGCACAATTTCGCTTCAATTTTTGATTATAAAAAATACAAAAGGCGGCAATAAATAAAATTACTGCAAATATAGAAACGAAATATTTACATTAATTTTAACAATTATTTATTAATTTGGAAGTCCTCTCCAATTAAAATGGGCGATATTCAATTTAAAATTTTAAATCTCCATTTATTCGTATTGAGTATTTAATTGCGGTGGCCGCTGCTAGGTGATGCTGGCGTTCCAATTTTCCGCGGCAGGTGCAGCGCTCGCTCGTGCCTCGACAGGTTCGGGCAGGTTGTTGATTTTTTTTTCATTCGCCGAAGGTTGAATGCCTGTGAAGTGCGCGCGCGCACTCTGCCGGCGCGCATCTCATCTTCCTGCATCAGATCGGCCGGCTGGTTCAAGTTTCGCGTTCGTTGGATTCGGAAGTCAGTCGCAGTTGTGTTGGTCCCGCGAGGCCGATTTGCATTCGCCGCGCCTTTTCTCGCGTCCCCTCAACCGACCTGACAGTGCCCAAGACCCTGATTCAGGGTATTCTCGAGTGTGTTGCCCAAAACCACCTGTTCGCGGGACGGTTAATCCCCCGAGCCGTTACTCGTGATTTGCATCCCGAGTCGGCGGCTTGAGATGACCTTTCGTCCTGCGCCAGGACCTACCCTGACTGATATTAACTGTAAGTTCAATGAAAGTGCAAAGGTTTTGTCCTGTATTCACTAAATTTTAATCCAATTGAATCCAATATGCAAATTATTTTGCAGGAAAAATGGAATTCATTTTAAATTCTTATAAAGAAATTTAGTAAAATTAATTTAAAAATCAAATGAAATAAAATTAAAAGTTAAAAATTTGAAATAATAACATATAATATTCAAATTTTATTAATATAAGAATTAAACAAATTATTTGACAGTACGGCATCAAAATTAATAATAATTAGCTTTGAAAAGGGATACAATTAAATTTTATCTTTTATCAAAAATAAAAATTTATTCAGTATTATAAAATTATCATATTATGTTAAAATACGATATTAATTTAATATATTTTCTAAAACACAAAGAAACAAGATTGTCGTTTTATTTAATTTACAATGATCATTTTTTTTTAAATTTCTTTTACCAAATTACAAAGTTTAAATTAATCCGTCCCTCAATTTCAAATTATTTAAAAAAAAAATTATTCATTATTAATCTATGAACTAAATTAAATTTTAATATTTTAATTAGCTGCAGACTAAAAATAGCAAATGATTAATGGGAAGAAACTTTTGATCATTGTCAATTATTTGGCTCTTCTCGTCAAGCTCTGTGTGAGATTCAATTAAAATCAATTACAATCGCGTTCAAAACATGCCGCATCATTCCGTCTCGAAAACATTACTTATTCTTGTTTGCTCAAAAGCTTTATTGGCGCGACGAGTTTCTTCTCTCTTGCCGAGCAAATAACAATGTTGATCGAATTCCCATATATACTGAAGCAATTAAAATTTCAAAATTTTTCGACCTCCTCGCGTGACACGCTGACACATTTTGAAAATGAATTTTCTTGTCGGCGCGCATCGCCGGCCGCTCATTCATTCAGGGAATTCTTCCTTTTATACCTGAATAGCGGTTCATCCGAACTGACCGCCTCAGAAAGGCTCACGGAATGCGATTGTTATCGGATTTTCAAAATGGAAAATTATCGTCTCGGGTGATTGATTGCTTCTGCTATAGATGGAAAATAATGATAATTTTAATAATTTATTATAATTAATTTAAAATACTTTATATTTTCATTATTTCTTGAAAAAATACGTTTCATTACAAGATTTATAATATTTTTATAATTAATTTTAATAATGCTAAAATTTTTAATTCATTTTTTACCAATTTTTTGAAAGATAACAATTTTTTTCAATTGTTTCTAATTTTGGAATTGAAGTTAAAAAGTTTTTATTGAATTTATAAAAAAAAAACAATAGTCTAAAATTACGCAATGATAATTTTCCAACCTGAAAAACACAAAAATCTTCAATTTATTAGCTTTCATAATTTGTATATTTTTATTTTTTCCTCTAATAAATTCCTGAAGCCTTTTACCCGGATTCTCGATGCTTGTCGGAGTGAATCACAATAATTTCTCGTCCACTTTTTCCTAATGAGTTGGTCATAAGAGGATGCATCTCACTAATCGCCAGACAAAAACCTCTGAAAAGTGGGACGCCCCGAGACAAAAAGCTGTGTGCGTTTTGGAGTGATAATTTTTCCCATCCGTCTAGCAGAGGCGACGGCGCTGGATGGGATTACTTTTTTTTTATCACCGCCTTTCTTTCCCTAACAGTACAATAATCCGTTTATACCACGGAAAGCCAAGCCAGGTGAGACGAGGGGAAAAACGAGTGGACGCATTTTTATAGTCAGCCCCTTTTCGGTCTGTTTGCTCAATGGTTTTGATTCATTTTTGCAGAAAAAAAACATTTAAATTATTGAAAGATGAAAAACCTGCACAATTTAAAGTGTAAAAATGAGAAAAAATGTTATAAATCCAAAATGTTTCATACAAAATATTGAACTCTACAAAGTTTTGGCATAAAAAATTTAATTCCTAGCTCTCTAAATTTCCATTTTCTGAAATATTAATTTTAGGCCGATGGAAATAATTATATATTATTTTGTCATCACCTTGCTTGTTATTTTTCTGCTTCACAATTTCCTTGATTTTAACCATTTTTGCGAGAACCTCCAATTATATTATATAAATTTTTTTAATTATTTTCGAGCTCTCCGTCAAGGTCGTGGCACAATTTTTTAATTATTCTGGTCCTGAAATAATTTCGACCTTCCAGCGTCTCTTTCCTCCGCCGAGACCGAGAAGAAGTTGCAGAAACAAAACCGCAAAAGTCAGGATCGTCTGCAGAAGCACTCGAATCGAAACCTGAACTCGACCAGTGCGGTCACCTTAACCCTATTCAAACGCAATCAGACGTGATGACTGCGATTGAAAGCATTTCCATACGGCCGCTTAAAAAATATGCGCTGCCATTCCAATGCTAATCCCTGATTGAATGCGTGGACTTGTTAAGTAAATGAAGGTTGCGCTCAGATTAGATTATGTTAATGAGCAGTTCAATTTTTTTTTAAAGAGAAATGTCTTAAATAAAAGAAAATTTAATTATGAAAAGTAAAAAAAAAATATAAAAAATTTTGTAAATATTTTTCCTGTAAATTATACAATTTTAAAATCAATTAAATTAATAAAAAAAATGCACTTTTTTTAGTCTTGTGTAGAGTTTTGCTTGAGAATAAGTTTGCGATTCTTTTTGTGAATTACTAGAAAAACTACTTTAATTAATTTTAAAATAACAAGATTTTATGATTTTTTTTTAGGGTTGAAATTTTGTAAATAAACCAAATTTAGTGAAATTTCATATTTATATAAATACGCGATAACAGATAAGTGGGTTTCAAGTAAAACTTAGTAAAACTTTTTTCCAATTTTTTGTTATTCTAGAACCAAAATTTGAACTTTAAATTAATCAATTAATTTAATTTGAGCCTTATTTTAGTTTGTACAGGTCCAAGAAATAGATTAAAAAGGTTTATGGACTATTTTTTATCGATTTAAAGTAACTCTCTTGAGAGAAAATCAAAATTTTCTTGATCAAAAGACGTTTCTACTTCTTCGTCAAGGCCCGAAGGCATGTAATTACGCGTCAGGGTGCATCTGCGTGTAATTGAATATCCACAGCAGCACATTTTTCATTTGCGAGTTGCAGTTCACTGAATCGTAATAATTCTTCCTGCTGAAAATTATACTCGCAGAGATCGACAGAAAAGTGCAGCGAACGGGGATTAAAATTACGCTCAGCCCGCAGCAAATGACTAAAGCAAAAAATAATATGCGCGCATTTTTTGTTTTCTTGGCTCATTTACAGTGCAACGATTCTTTGTAAACAAAAAAAGAATTGAGTTCTCGGAAATTTAGTGATGAAGGCACTGATTTGTAAAAGAATTTGTTACAAAAGTCAATTTATAAAGAAAAATCGGCATGGAATATTTATTTATTAAATTTGTAGAAACGAAAATAAGATCTTGTCTAACGGGATTTAAAATTTAAATTCTACAAAACAAATTTCATGAACTATTTTTTCTATAAAATATATCTTTTAAATAAAAAAAATCCTTTAATCTCTAACATTTTAGCTTCAAAACATGAATTTTTTTCGCACACAAATATGAATATAGAAAAAATGAAACTTCTTCATTCTTGGAAGGGCTTGAATGGAACGTGATTTCACGCGAATATAACAAAAAAAAATCACAATCCCAGGAAATAACCGAACTGATTGCGAGAATATCGAAGACATCTCTTGAAAATGTATGAAATATTGTGCGCTTTCGATGCCACTCTCTATTCAAGAGAGTGATTTTCTCGAGCATTCAAAGCCGCATCATTTTCTCGTGAGATCGGAAGAAGTTTGAATTGCAAAGAAAACTCCGCCGCCGCCGTTCTGCTCTTTGGTCCGCAAGGTCGGTGCATCTTCTCGCGTGGACACCGAAAGAAAGAAAGAAAGACGAGAAGCACTTGCAAAAGTTTAATGCCCTCTCGCATAGTCTAGCAACTTTATTATTTTCATAAAATAATAATTCTGTGGTTATTGGTGCACGTCTGTCGGTCAAACACGAGGACAAAAACAAAATTCTAAATAATATTCCAAATGTGATTTGTGCCGGAAACAAATTAAATTCTCACCTTTCTCTCTGCTTTTGATGTTCATTGAGTGGAAAATTCAAATTAGGTAATCGTTATGATATTGGCAGTTCCGTTCTGCTACTTTATTCTTATAGATTTGGTAACAATTTTTATATTATTCTTTTATTCCACTCGGAGAGTTTCACTCACGCAGGTGACTAATTGAAGAGAGCATGTGTGTACTTTCAGCGCGAGTGAGATCGCGGATGAGATATTCTCATCAACTCGAGTCATCTTTCGTAATTCATGGTCGAGCTATTAAAGTAATTTTGCTGCCAGTGCACTCACCCAGACCTTAGGTAAGGAAAGACTTTGACGGCGATCGCAATCACGCATCATTGAAACGCTAGCAAAAAATCATTTGCATTAAAAAATTAATGCAAATATTCCGGAATAAATTAATCATTTAATTCCAATAAGAAGGAATTTCTGCAGAGGAATTGGCATGGAATGGAATATGTTTGAGGTTTTTCATATATTTATAAAATATTCAGACTTTTAATTGTTTGATTTTAATATTTTAATTAGATTCTAATTCAATTTGTAAATTTATAAATTAATAATATTCAATGCATCTTAATGTACCATATTTCTCTTTGTCTCTGTGTAATACAATACATGGAAACGATTTTAATTAATTGAAATGTTGAAATTTATTAAATTTAAATATTTTCTTAGGAAGCTCTTAATTGATACTTTTTTAAAGAATTAATATTTAATTCAATTATTGATCGTTTTAAAATTGATTTTAATATGTTCCAAAAAAAATCCATCTTTGGAGTTTCATCATCAACATTCTAGTCATTTAGCAACGGCAATTTCGCCTAGTTGGCGCATAAAATTCCTCTCTACGTCACAAAAATAATAGCAAATAATCACATAAACGCGTCTATACATTTTCACAAGTTGATAATTTGAATCCCCGGCCGTTGTGGTGCT